GTTTTGAGGTTGGCTGGCAGATTTGCTTGTCCAACTTCAAACGGCGATATCCGGAGCAAACGAGAACTTTATGACTCGTTTGATAGCTTCCTAGAAAGGTAATTAAGTCTAGAACAACATATTAAAATATGGGAGGCTTGTAGAATGCGGTTTGTCCGCAGAAATTTAAAGACCAAACCATGTTCGGATAGGTAAAAAACGTAAAAGTGAGATTTTAGCTAAGTGAATTTATGAGAACCCCTTAGTGACTTGAGAGATGTAATATATGATATAAAAGTAGTTTAAATAATTATTCCGCAAGGAGTTTACAGTTACGGTCACAACTTTTATTTATTAAACTTTTTATTATTTTAAATGCTCGCGTAATAAACAGAAAAAGTTTACTTGCATTTTTTATAAATGAACTGATGTGATTGTAATTGTACTTAATATCATAATTAATGTTAACAATACCGGTGTACAACGAGCTGTTACAAATAGTGCCATAATTCTTCAAACGTAATCTGTTCTATCTTGAGATACAAGTGTTCATCAACCTTCAACATCACTGAGGGAACAAATTGTCTTAAGGAGACAACCTTGTTAGGCTCGGAGTATTCATCCTTTTTTGCATACTGACATCTTCTTCTAATCTCAAATTTATTTTTTCTTTATTTATTGCACTCTGCTTTTACTGTTAATCAACATATCTAGTATCATCCATAGGTTCGAATCTATATGTGTTCTTCACCCACTGCCTTTATACAACACTCAACCCTTACTCAGCCATGGAGACCAAACTCAACCCATGGAAATCATGAGGATCGCTCAACTCATGAGGATGTCTCAATTCATATATTCATTCTTGCAATAGTATATATACATGGCATTTTACACACAAGGTCACGCAAGTCATTCAACGCATTCAAAGGAGCTACACACTAACGTTGGGTACTGGGATTTTCGGCTTATACTTACTTCTCCTTTGAGACTTCCTCGACGCCGCCACTTCCACCTACAATGTCGCCATGACATAGTTTCAGTTACAAAGATTACTCACACGTACACTACAAGATATTTGTAGTTCAACACTCTTACCCAATACATTTATGGTGATTAGATATGGTTTAATCAACCTTTAAAATTTCGTAGCCCAAGTTTCCCTTATCGCCGAACCTATTGGGCAATCTCTCAAGCACTTAGCATGCATGTACTGATTAAGTGTTCTAACAATCCTTTATCTAGTTGGTTCGGCCAAGGCAACAGTCAATAACCGAATCTTCAGCTCTCAGCATATATATACATCTTAACAGAATTTTCCCACATAAAAAATCAACCCAAAACAGACATGTGTGCTGGTTGAACATATCAAGGCATTTAGATGAACATTACTAAGCTTCTTCTTTACATGCATGTGAGCTACAACTACGTAGGGACAGGATATCACTGTATTTGTCTTTTTAAAAGATATAGAATTGTGTCATTTCAAGAGATACACAATAAAAATCATGGGAGAGAAATGAGAGGTTTTTTAATTTAAATTTTAAATAAAAAATACTAATTTTAACTAAAATAACCATCCCTTAAAAGGACAAACATTTTTCCTTATATATAAATATATAAAATCATTTTTTACAATTGTTTCAAATTTTTTTGATTAATTTTTAGAGAAAAATATTTGTTATATTAGAGAATATAACTTTGTTTCATTTTAAGTGAAATGATAGTGTTTTGGGCATCTTTAGTGCTTTTTATACTTTTTTCGCACATCCACAAAATTAGGAGCAGATAGAAAGAGAGAAAGAGAGTATTCTGAAAGAGAGAGAATATAAAAAATTATCGAAATAATCGTTTCAATTAAAATAATACAAAATTATTTTATTTAAAATGAAAAATATTTTTTCCATTCTTTAATTATAAAAGAAAGACAAATTTTTATATCATTTAAATTAAAACGATTGTGTTTTATTATTTTTTTAGCTTCTCTCCTCTGTAATATTTTCTCTTTTTCTTTTCTTCTAATTTTATGGAAAAAAAATATAAAAATCACTATATATACAATATTTTATTTAAAATAATATAAAATTATGTCTTTTAAAATAATAAATATTTCTCATAAAATAAATTAATCGAGACAAGACAAGGAATGGCAGATGACTTGGCGCCGCCCCCATCGAGTTCCGTGATGGAGTTGCATTTGCCGCAGTTGTGTGGAGTTTGGTTTTTTATTTCATGTTTGTATTCCATTTATCATAGAAATAAAAATGAGTTCCGTGTGTTGTATAGGAACCCCTCTGCCGATTAGCTCTGTCTATTTTAAAAATAACTAATATTGCTTATGGTTTTAATTTTATTTATATTTTTTCTATAAATTGAGTGCTGTAATGAATGGTAAAGAAAATATAGTGAATATTATTCGATATAATACACATTAAATGAATCAGAATAAATCTATATCTCCATTTTTTTTATCTCTTTTCTGATTTGTAATATGTATATGATTGTTTTGGTTCCAACATCTTCACCCTTTAGACCAGTGTTTTAAAACTCGGACCGGTCATCTAACCGGTCAAGGTACTGGGTCACTGGTTCAATCGGGTTCAACCGGTTTTACTGTTCACATATTAAAAATATAAAAATATTACTTATATTAATAAAAATTCATATAAGAAAACTATCAATGAGCTTCAAGAAATAAATTGGTTTTCAATTATAGTAAATATTATATACTTCTAAGCTTCTAGCTCTAGACCGTATCCTAATATTGGATTAAACCATGCAATATAAGTTAAATGCACTTTTTGTGCTTGACATGATACGGATAAATTAAATTATGATAACAAATAGTATGCATGAAATATACACTATAAGAAAAAAGTGTCCACCGTTGAGATGAGATCATCAGACCATTAGTGTTTATTACCACTTAACTTCATGAGATCATTATAAGATGCAACTAAATTACATAAACGAACTACACTAATCTAAAATACCTTTATTATTTTCACCTTACTTTTAATCATATTCATCATAAAATATGAATATGATTTAATTCAAGAGTTCTTATCAACAACAAAAAAATTTACCAAAAAAAAAGAAAAAAAAGAAGAGGAAAAACCGGTTTAACCCGAGTCAGCCGGGTCATCGGGTTTCGGCCGGGTCAACCGGTCCAATCCGGGCTGACTGTATAACCGGTCCAACTACCCGCTCGGACCGGGGAACCCACCGGGTCACCGAGTCCCGGGTCGACCCGGCCGGTCCGAGCCGGGTTTTAAAACACTGCTTTAGACCATAAATTTGGAGATTTTATCGTTGAAAGTTCCTATCAATCTTACGATGGACTAAGATACTGACAAAATCGAATGTGGAAAAATAGTAGTTTTTTAAAATCCCGCTCCATTCAGGGGTCGATTTTATTGAGTCATTGATTTTTTTTATCTGAGGATTCAGGTTTGTAGTTAGATCTTACTTGCACGTTAACTTTTTTAACTCTCAATACTCTCCGGTTGAACCCATGACTCCCAGGTCAAAAGGGTCAAAAGAGTCACTGCATTTAAAAAAAATGTTATACACAAAATGACGTTATTTGATGTGTAAAAAAAAAACTCATTGTTTCATAGGTTTAGAACTATATCTGAAATCTAAATCATTCTTTTTCTCTTCCGATCTTCTCTCTAATACCCAGACCTAGACCCAGACCCAGTCTGCCTGATCAGGAGATTTCCTCCATCGTGCTGGTTCTTCTCTCCACACCGTTAATTTGTCGTGTCGCCACCTCTCCTCCGTTATTTTCTATTGGGTAAGGAATCTTCTTTCACATAATGTTCTAGGTGGATAAGAAAAACAAGAAGAGTTTGAGTTTGATGATATAACTTTTCATTAACTCCATTGAAATATGTGTTTTATATTTTGATAGTTTGATTAGCTTGAAAATATTGACTTAATTGGTTGAATTATGTTAAGTATATTTTGAATCTTTAATAATTGGTGGTTTGATATTTTTGAAATTTTCATATAAAATATATATTTATATTTTGTTAATGTATAAAATCGGGTCAACGAAGTGATCCCATGACCTTCGAATTGATATTGTGATCCCATGATCCCTGATCTCGATAGAGTCAATGAATGTGCCAGATCTTTAAACACCGAAAAAAAAATATGGCAAATAGATGATCCCGAGAAAGTTGTCTTTCATGAAAATATTTAATATGGTCCAGGACCACTGAATCTTTTAGTGCTCCCTCTCACGTCATTAATTTTTTCTTTTCCTTTTTATCTCTGTTATTTTCTCTCTTTTTTAATTTTATCCTTATATTTACACTAAGAGACCACTAAAAAATGGTGGTCCCCGTTTCAAAAAAATAATCTCGTCTTTCATCTTGCTTGTCGGTAGACGTCTTACATCAAATTCAGCATGCTTTCTAGATTTGGGTTTAGTGTTTATAAAGTTTAAATCGATTTTGCAACCTAATTTAATTGTCTTTCTTTTATTTATCCTAAATTTTTTTTATCCAGTTAATATATCATTCGTGACAATAGCTGTAAAAGCATTATACCAAGCAAAATCAATTGTTTAACAAAATTAATTTTTTGTCATCCCAGAAAAACGCTGCTTACTTACAAAAAGAAAAAAAAATTAAACATATTCTTTGATTTATAAAGTATATTTTGTAGAGAAGAAGACAAAGCAGATTGATGTTAATGATACAAAATATAAAATAAGTACAAAATAATTACTTAATGTAATATTTTAAAAGTCGGATCAAATCAACTGGTTGAACTATGTTTAACATTTTAATATAAATTTAGCTAGTTGAATCAATTCTTTGTTTAATCTCTGATTTGGATTTTAGAACATAATTTATATGCAATTATTCTGTAAACAAAAAAAATCAATAGAATAAATACAAAATAAACAAGAGTAAATCATACTAGCAAACAAAAATGACACGTGTAGATAATTTAAACAAATGAAAGGCATCTCTTGTTTTCAAAAAAGAAAAGGCTACACCATTCTCAAAAACGGCTCATTCTTCTTCTCTCTTGATGCCCTCTCACTCTCGCTCGGTTCTTCTTTCAGCCTAGTTGACCTGCACTAACCTTTTCGATTTCTCACAAAATATTCAGAATCTCTAACTGGTAAGTGTTCATTCGTCACTCATTTTTAATATTAATTTTTGCTTTTTTATTTTATTTTATTTGAAATTCTTAGCATATTATCTAAGAGAGAAAAGAGGAAAATTGATTGGTAACGAAGCCATTTGTGTTGGGTTAGTATTGAAAGTTCTTGTGTTGCTGTTTAGGGCCATGGCTTGGAGTTGGAGATGTAGCTGTGTGGTTTCAGTTGCTGTAATGCTTCTGCCACTTATGGCTTCTGCGGGTTCTATTGTCAAGAACCTACCGGGCTATAATGGTGACCTTCCATTCAAGCTTGAAACTGGGTAAATTCATTTCTTTCGTTTTTTATTTTATTTATTTTTTCTTTGTTTTGGTAAAAAGTTCATTTCTTCTTTTTGTTCAAGTGATTATTGATTATTATTTTCATTGATATGATCATAATTTATTAAATAACGTATAATTTCTATAAATTAGAGATTTCTAAAAGTAAAATTTATATTTAAGAGATGGAGATTATGATTGTTCATCAATACCTTGAGTTTAGCTTAGATTGGAGGCGTTTTTTGAACCAAATCTGTTCATAGTGTCATCAGGGTTGAGTTTGGATTTGTCCTACTCAAATTATTGAGTTCAATTGAGTATGCACCCATAATAAATTTTAAAGAAAACAAAAAACATGCCTCGAATGAATTAATTATAAATCTCAAGTAAAATAAGTAGGGATTTGCATTTATCACTTAACGTGACACAACAAACTTTCCTACACACATAACATTTTGTGGAGCCCACACTTTTTGAAGAAAAAAGAAAAAAAATTACGACATGCAAAACGAATCTCTATAATATTACACAATCATTTTTTCTACAACATAACTCTTATAAAACTCAAATAAGTATAAATCTCATTTGACATAAAAGTATTCGATAAGCAAATATTCAATGTGTTAATCAAAACTATAAATTGTTAATAATAAAATAACTTAATTAACATGGTAAAATAAGGGATAACAACTGGCCCCTGCAATTTAGGGACTGCTTCCTTGTGGTCCATGAACTACGATTACTTTTTTTTCCAAACCGTGTACTAGATTGCTTCTTCTTTTTCCAACAATAGTAGTCATTTGTCGTGTTCTCACCTGTTTTTTTTTTTAATGTAAACTCCTAAATTTATTATTGAAAATTATGGAATGGGCCAGATTAGTTCATGAGAATGCAAATTTTTTTTTTTTTTTTGGGGTTTTTAAGAATCACAAATGTCCATTATATTAATCTTATATTATGTTTAGATATTTAAAGATGGGTAGAATGAAATGAAAATAGATAGGACGAAATGAATTACCATAATTTTATTTTCGTATTTTATAATAAAACGGAGCAAAATTTAATTTCATTGTTTGCAAAATAGATATAATTAAAGGGGGAAAGTGATTATCCTTTTAAATGACACAATTTATATCTTTTCACTCTCACAAAGAGGTGTGACTCACACTTTTATTTTATTTTTGTCAACTCTCTCTCCTCCTTTATCTATCTCTTTTTCTCTCTTAAAATGACACAACTTTACATCATTTAAAATGACACACACTTTTTCCATAATTAAAAGTAATAATTTTATTACACTGATTTCTTCGAATGCCTCCTAAATTGGGAGAGAAGAAAAACATATGTATTAGATGAAATGAGATAGAATATATGTTATTCCATTCTAACTAACTAGTGGTTTCAGAGTTCTAGTCCAATAATCAATGAATGTGGATAATATCTAAAAATATATATATTTTCCTTTTCATAATTAATATTTTAAAATTAAAAAAATGATAAATACTGCGTGCAGATAGAGCTGAAACTGTTTGGGAAGTAACAGTCCAACAAATAAAGAAATAGATGAGTGTACCATACTGTGGTGGAGAGATAAACCCAATATAGGGCAAATTAACGTTCTATGTCCCATGCTCACGAGTTTAGTGGAGAAATAATAAAGGAGAGTATCTTTCTTTCCCTATACCTACAGCTACAGCTGCTACACCCACACCACTCACTGCAACTTATTTAATATTCTTGTCCTTCTCCAGCCTCTATAACATATTGAGCTAATAATATGATTCCAATTCAATTTCTTGCATTCAACTCTGACCCAGAATTACATATGGCTGATGTAAATACCCTTACGGTGTGTTTGGTACAGGAAAAAATTTTTGGTGACCGGAAATCATGATTAATGGGAATTCAGTAGAAATTGAGTTTACTTGGAATCTTACGAAAGATGTGTTTGGTTCGTCAAAATATTACCGGGAATACTGGGTAAAAATTACTGATTCCATATTTGGTTTAGAACGAAATATGACTTGGAATATGAGGTTATTTTACAAAAATAACCCCAAACTATTTTTACTTTTGTAATTGATAGATTGGGTCTAGATTTTTATGTGTATTGGGGTATTTTTGTCTCAAAATTTATTGTTGTGCTTTCCCTTTACTTGGTATTCTGATTGGTATTCCGAATTACCATATTATTTTTGTTAATCTGAATAGTGACTTTTCTTTATAAATCAAATTACCGGTAATCCTTGGATATCCGGGAATCGTAATTTATTCCTTCTACCAAACGTGGTAATTACATTTACCAAAGAAGGATTACCGGTAATCCTCTCCAAAAACTTGAACCAAACACCCCCTTACATCTTGTGGACCCAATTCCTATTCAACTTTTCTTCGCCAAATATGTTGACAAGTTTATGTTATATTATATCCATTCTATGTATATAATTTTGAACATTCTATTACACAAGAGAAAAAAAAATATTAATATCAAATACACGGATCATTGTTCTAACTAACTAGCACGGATCATTGTTCTAACTAACTAGTGGTTTCAGAGTTCTAGTCCAATAATCAATGAATGTAGATAATATCTAAAAAAATATATATATTTGCCTTTTCATAATTAATATTTTAAAATTAAAAAAAATGATAAATACAGCGTGCAGATAGGGATTTTTCTAATATACACCCAGCCCGTATTGTTTTGGGTGCACATTTTCTATTTAAGGTAAAATAAATTTCCATTTAAGTCCTTCTCTTTTTCTTAAATTCCATCTGAGTCTTATTTTCTTTCCATTTTAAACTAAGGATTATAAAGTCCTGAAATGTGGTCTGCAGAGAGAGCTGAAACTGTTTGCCTTTGGGAAGTAACAGTCCAACTCTATCCCTTAAATTTGGGCTATGGTTTATGGGTATCAGATGTCATAACCATACATGGGCCACGCCCCAATATAGGAGTCCAACAAACCTCTTACAAGGTTTAGTTGTTTTTCTTTTAAAAATTTAAATTTAGAATTTTTTTGAGAATCAATTGAAAGGATATACACGTTGAAAGTGTCTTTGGAAACAGTGACCAAAATGTCATTGTTCACCAATTTTTTTACCTAAATGCCACACGAACAGTGTTATTTTCCAATCTGCCATGGGGGCAAGTTCGCTACCCGGTGTAGCGAACTCGGTTTGCTGACGTGTCACGTTTCTAGTGGACACCAACTTGATTTTAACCAAGTTCGCTTACATGGTAGGCGATCTTCATTTTTTTATTATTATTTTTTTAAAATTTGATACTTGTTATCCATTAAAAATGTGACACGTCAGCAAAATTGATTTTAACCAAGTTCGCTTACATGGTAGGCCCCTGTGGTATATTGAGAAATAACACTATTTGCGTGACATTTAGGTAAAAAAGTTGATGAACAGTGACATTTTGGTCAGTGTTTCAGTGTCTTTGTAGGTAAACAATTCAAAACAAGCATAATATAAAAATTTAAGAAGTCTTAATAATAATAAAAAATCAAAATTCAATGAAAATTGTTATATAAATTTTATTTTGTTTAAAATTGGTTGAATTAATTTTCTCAACAATTATACACAACATTCCAAATAATTGCATTATTTATGATAGTTTTGTGTCCCATTTAGTTAGCAAAGGCACGATTTTGGTACATACCTAAGTGAAGTTAGTATCTTTGATTGTACACAAGTAGGGGTGGGCTGGGTTGGGTTGGGCCAAGCTTTGCCTCGGAAAGCCCAAGTCTACGTCAAAATTTTTTAATTTGGCCTGGTCCAAGCCTAATATGAGTCTAACTGTTAGCCTGACTTGACCCGTTTATGAAAAAACAAATGGCATGCCCTAGCCCGTTTGCTTATTAATTTTTAACTTCCAAGCAGAACCATGAATCAACTTTACAAAATACTCAAATTCTGTTGCTAAACCAAAAATCATAATTTCAACGTCCAAATAGAATCACGAATCACAACAAAACTCATACAATCTGCATTTAAGTCACTTTTAAAAGAAAAATGCTCAAACTAAATAACATATATTTCATCATATCCAACAAACAAATCCATACTATGTAAATTAAAATAACTACATGAATCGAACAAACACATCATAATGTTTGTAGTAAGTATAACCTCTCTCAAAAATCTTTTAATATATTCATATACACAATCTAACATGCTGAGATGTTGATTCTTCCTACATAAGAAATAAAGTCAAATTTCTATTAAAATATAATCAAATATAATTAAGTTATAAATAATTGCAATTGATTAAATTTATATCTTTTATTTTTTCTTCAAGACATACTTATTCTATTTTGTTTTATTTGAAATAAATAGTACAATATAGGCCTGCCTGTAGGCTTATAGGCCAGTCCTTGTGAAAGTGGGCCTACGGTCTTTTTATTAAACAAGCTTTTTCAAAGCCCAAGTCCGACCTGTTTTACAAAATATACTAAGTCAGGTCTGGCCTGATGTAGGCCAAGCCGTAGGCCCCTGTAGGCCGACCCGGTCCAGTTTCACCCCTATACACAAGTACAAAATGTCTAATGGTAAGTTATTTACAACGTTTTACCACTGTTAGGCAGGTCTAGGGAGGAGTCCGTAACGGGGGATAACTATCAATGGGCTAAGCTAAACCAACCACATTAAGTGGATCCGACACCACATCTTAATCCAAAACCTTAAGATATTAGGTTCATGAGTCCATTCACTTATATCCACTTAGCTCATTACCAATGAATGCGAGATTCATCACACTTGAATATCCCAACAATATCTCCCTAAAGACTCAAGTGTAACCTGGCTAGCTCAAGCCTAATCCGGCTCTTATTGAATTTCTAGGCCATGCAAGAGGAGTCATGGCAGGAAGTGTAGAATATTCTAGATTGTGATTTATCATTTATTGCTTTTTGTTATTTGTTCCCTTATTTATTAGTGTTTTTTGTTATTGTAAATAAGTCTCTTAGTTTACCGTTGCTATTTATTGATATAGCTCATTGTACTCAATATAAAAAGGACCCATTGGGTCTCAATGAATTAAGAAATTAAGTTATTCAGAGAAAACACTTCTTCATTTCTTCATGGTATCAGAGCTTCAGTGACCATAAGGTCACGAGTTCGATCCTCACCGCCCCCCACTTTCGAGTGGAATTAAATAAAAATAAAAAGCACAAAAAGAAGGTAAACCAAAAATTGGGCCTCTGTACAATATCCACGCTTCAAGCCCAAAGGGCTCTTGCGTGAGGGGGCGTGTTAGAATATAATATAAACCATTAAAAATACTCTCACCCAACACCTTAAGGTTTTGGGTTGAAGTGGTTCTTTTCATGGTATCAAGAGCTAGTTATATTCCAGTGTCTTCCCTGTTCTTTTTTTTGTTTTTGAAGTCTTCTTCCTATTCATTTTTTTTTCGGAGGAACCTTTTTTCTGGGTACCTGTTGTTCAAAAGCCATGGACGCTGATACAACTAGTCATGTTGCTCAAAAAGGTATGGCATTCCATGTTGAACGTAGTAATCGTTGGATCCTTGATTCAGGGGCCTCTGATCACATGACAGGTAATGCAACCTTATTTTGCTCCTATACCCCTTACTATCACCAGTCACAAATAAAAACAGCTGATAAGAATTTCTCCACTATTGCGGGAAAAGGATCCATTAAAATTTCTGAGCATATTATTTTGAACTCAGTCCTTCATGTTCCATCTCTTACTTGTAACCTCATGTCTATTAGCAAACTTACTGCTGAGTTGCATTGTGTTGCTAAGTTCTCTGCAAATGCTTGTATCTTTCAGGAGCAAAACTCAGGGATGATGATTGGCAGTGCTAGAGAGGAAGAAGGGCTCTACTATTTTAAAGAGGATCTTTGTGAAAGGAGGATTTTTTCGAACAACTCTCTATGTTTATCATATGACTGTAATGATGTTTTGTTATGGCATCGTAGGTTAGGACACCCAAACTTTGTTTATCTTTTGAAGTTATTCCCGAACTTATTTATCAATAAAAAGCCAAGTTCCTTTCTTTGTGATATTTGTCAGTTTGCAAAGCATTCTCGTGTCACTTATTCTCCTAAGAAATATCATGAATCTTCTCCCTTTACATTGATTCATAGTGATATTTGGGGACCTGCTCGTGAAAAAAATGTCTCGGGTGCTCGTTGGTTTATTACTTTCATTGATGATCATTCTAGGGTATGTTGTGTATATCTCTTAAAAGATAAGTCTGATGCGGCATCCACTTTTAAAAACTTTCATGCTATGATTCAAACTCAATTCCAGACCTCTATCAAAATTCTGCGAACAGACAATGGTACTGAATATTTTAATTCTGTCCTTGGAGATTACCTAAACCAGCGTGGAATTGTTCATCAAAGTTCTTGTCCTAACACCCCTCAACAAAATGGGGTGGCTGAAAGGAAAAATAGACATCTCATAGAAGTTGCTCGAGCTATCTTATTCACAACGCATGTCCCTAAATATCTGTGGGGGGAAGCTGTCTTGACAGCCTTTTATCTCATTAATCAGATGCCTTCTCGGGTACTAAATTTTGATTCTCCTTTATCTTGTCTTACTAAATCTTTTTCCTTTTTCAATGCCCTTTCTTCTCTTCCTCCCAGATTATTTGGCTGTGTGGTTTTTGTGCATATTCCTCCACATCAAAGGTCCAAACTTGACCCTAAATCTATTAGATGTGTCTTCATAGGATATTCCCCTAATCAAAAAGGTTATAAGTGTTACTCACCTTCTCTCCGTAAGGTCTTTGTTTCCATGGATGTTACCTTTTATGAGACACAATCCTTTTTCTCCCTGACTTCTCTTCAGGGGGAGTCTATTGGTATTAGTATGGATGAAGATAAGTCTAGGAAACCAAATGATGTTGTTGTCTTATCTTGGCCTTTGGAAACAGGGAGAGTTATTGGGAAGGAAACAAGGGGAGCAAATATACCTGAGACTAGTGATCCTCCTGGTAAATGGGGAAAATTTTACAGCAGGCGCAAAACACATCAAGATACTCTAGACTGCCAGGATCCTGACTCGAGTCCTTGCTCCGGCAACCTACTCGAATGCACTAGTACAGCCAACATTGATATGCCCATTGCTCTTCGCAGAGGTACTAGATCCTGCACTGCTCATCCTATTTCCCATTATATCTCATATGAGAAGTTGTCTCCAGGTTTTCGTGCTTTCAACACTATGTTAGACAGTACCAGGATACCCAAAAATATCCAAGAAGCACTTGATGACCCAAAATGGAGGAATGCAGTATTAGAAGAAATGGATGCACTTATAAAAAATGCAACATGGGAGTTTGTGACATTACCTAAAGGAAAGAAAACTGTTGGTTGCAAGTGGGTATTCATAATAAAATTTAATGCAAACAATAGCATCAATAAGTATAAGGCCAGATTAGTTGCTAAGGGATTTACTCAGACCCATGGGATAGATTATCAGGAGACATTTGCTCTTGTTGCCAAGCTTAAAACTATCCGCTTTCTGCTATCTCTTGCTGCCAACCTTGATTGGCCATTGCAACAGTTAGATGTTAAGAATGCCTTCTTGAATGGTGATCTACATGAGGAAGTTTACATGGATCCACCTCCTGGTTTTGATAAAGGGGATGGTTTTGTGTGCAAGTTGCATAAGTCTCTCTATGGACTTAAACAATCTCCCAGAGAATGGTTTGGGAAATTTACTCAAGCTGTTAAGGGGAGAGGGTTCACCCAAGCTCAGACTAATCACACTTTATTTTTTAAACACTCTGACAAAGGTAGAATTGTTATTCTCATCGTTTATGTTGATGACATTATTGTCACTGGTAATGATAGCGGGGAGATAACCTCTTTAAAAAAATGTTTAGCTGACCAGTTTGAACTAAAAGATCTTGGACCTCTCAAATATTTCCTTGGCATGGAAGTTGCTCGGAGTAAGGAAGGAATTTCTTTAACTTAGAAAAAATACATTCTAGACCTGTTGCAAGAAATAGGTATGCTTAGGTGCAAGCCGACAGAGACTCCAATTGAAGCTAATATCAAGTTGGGAGTTGAGGACATGGAAAATGTTGATAGGGAGCAGTACCAGAGACTTGTGGGGAAATTAATCTATTTGTCTCACACTCGTCCTGATATTGCTTTTGCCGTGAGCATGGTTAGCCAATTCATGCATTCTCCTAAGGAAAAACACCTCAGTGTTGTTTATAGAATTCTCAAGTACCTCAAAAACTCCTCTGGTCGAGGAATTCTCTTTAAAAAGGGGAACAAAAGGATGATTGAAATTTATACAGATGCGGACTGGGTTGGCTCTGCAATGGACCAAAGATCTACTTCAGGATATTGTACTTATGTCTGGGGAAATCTTGTGACCTGGAGAAGTAAGACACAAATTGTTGTTGCAAGAAGCAGTGCAGAAGCGGAATTTCGGGCTCTAGCCCATGGCATTTGTGAAGGAATTTGGTTAAGAAGGCTTCTGGAGGAGTTGAAGATCTCTTATCCCTTACCTATCAGATTATATTGTGATAATAAGGCTGCTGTCAGCATTGCTCAAAATCCTGTTCATCATGACAGAACAAAACATGTGGAAGTTGATCGTCACTTTATCAAAGAAAAATTAGAAGACAATAGTGTATGTTTGTCATATATACCTACCAAGGAACATACGGCAGATATTCTCACCAAAGAATTACTTAAGCCGACCTTTGAGGTTTTGATCAGCAAGTTAGGAATGATCAATAAATATCTCCCAACTTGAGGGGGAGTGTAGAATATTCTAGATTGTGATTTATCATTTATTGCTTTTTGTTATCTGTTCCTTTATTTATTAGTGTTTCTTGTTATTGTAAATAAGTCTCTTAGTTTACCGTTGCTATTTATTGGTGTAGCTCATTGTACTCAATATAAAAAGGACCTATTGGGTCTCAATGAATTAAGAAATTGAGTTATTCAGAGAAATAACTTCTTCATTTCTTCAGAAAGAGACAGCCAACCATGGGTTACGTAAGCAATGGCATTAAGTGAGGGCTTGGAACATCACAATCAAATCCAAAACCTTAAGGCATTGGGTTCATGGGTCCATTTACTTATATCCAATTGGTATGCTCCCTCTCAACCAAGTACCCAAGCCCAAAGTACTCAACTCGGCTCTAATACCAATTGTTAGGCTGTGCAAGAGGAGCTCATGGCGGGGAGAAACAGCCAACCATGGGTTAAGTGAGCAATGTCATTAAGTGGGCATGGAACACCACAATCAAACCCAAAACCTTAAGGTATTGGGTTCAGGGGTCTATCTAGTTATATCCAATTGATATGTTCCCTCTCAACCGAGTACCCAAGCCCAAAGTACTAAACCAGCCTCTAGCCAATCACTAAGCTAGCTCGAGCCCAACCTGGCTCTAATATCACTAACAAGTGGGTTCGAGGAGCCCATGGCTAGGGACCGCCACCAATAGGCTAAATTAGACCACAACATGTCTCAGTCCAAAAGCTTAAGATATTGGTTGAGGCTACATTAATGGTTTCATATTAGTTTTCTAACACGTCCCCTCACACAATAGCCCGTTGGACTTGAAGGGTGGATGATGCATCTGATCCAGCTTATTTGTGCTAAGAAATTTCAGTAGACTTAATTAATTATTAATTAAATGAGGGCAATGAGGATCGAATCCATGACACTGAGGCTCTGATATTATTAGAGAACTATTTCAACCCAAAATCTTAAATTGTTTAGTAAGATTATATTAATGATTTTATATTATTTTTCTAACTTGTATGATGCTAGATCCTGGTAGTGTTTAAACTTATAGTTACTTGTTATTGCGTAGATACATAGGAGTGGGAGAAGGAGAAGAGGTCCAAATATTTTACTTATTTGTGGAGTCTCAAAGAAATCCTTTCATTGATCCACTTTTACTTTGGTTCGTTGGAGGTCCAGGCTGCTCTGGCCTTTCTGCATTTTTTTTCGAAAATGGTAAATCATCTTTTATTTATATTTATTTGGAGAAATAATTATTAGGCTACTTTTTTTCCCGCTACATTTACACCGCACAATATAACTTGGTTTTTTAACCACATGATGGTAAACTTTTTTAAAAATAGGCCCTAAAAGTTATTATTTAGTATAATATGTTACTAACCCGCAGTAGTATATGTAAAAATAAATCAACTAAAAGTAAATGTATACAATTAACATTATCCATGAATTTTGTTAAGAACGTGTGGTTAGAAAAACAAATACTCTCACTCTACGAGAAATTATTTTCTAATGATTTAGGCTAGAAATATCAAAAAAATGTAGAGATTTCTGCGCAAAATACTAAGGAAAATGCAAAAAAGTAAATAAATAAAAATATTTTAATTAATTTAGATTGGATTATTTTTTGGTTAACCATTTTTCAGGGCCATTAGTAATGGATCGCAATTATAGTGGGAACCTTCCAAACCTTGAATTGAACCCATATGCATGGACAGATATGTTGAATATGATATACATAGATATGCCAGTGGGCACTGGATTTTCTTACTCAGAAACGCAAGAAGGCTACTATAGCAGTGACATACTGTGGGTGGAACATACATATACATTTTTACTAAAGGTGAACCATTAATGTTCTACAGTCGTATGTAAGGTTAATGATTTGATTTTTATAATGTAAAAATTTATACTACTGTTCAACCATATTTTATTATATAGCATAAAAAGTCTAGGACTTCTTAATTATGAAACAACTAACATTTTTGTCAGAACAATTTTGCATCTAACACTTTGGGAATGATTTTTCCATCTCTTGTAATAAGTTTCACTTTCAATGTAGTGGTTTATCGATCATCCAAAGTTTAGCTCAAATCCATTTTACATTGGTGGTGGCTCATATTCAGGATTAACAACTGGTCCTCTTGTTCAAAAAGTATATGAAGGTAAATATTGTATAATAAACAATGCTAATTTGATAGGCTAATTTGGCCTTAGTGAATATCTTTGTCGTTTTGAATTTCTTCAATGCTTCCTTTAAGGGCAGGTTACAAAGCAAGAAGCGTGCCACTCATCAACATCAAAGTACAAAAGGAAAAAACCCTTTTTGGGAGTGTTTTTCTGTTTTGCTAGATATTTTCTAAACTACTCTTTCTAACTAATTATCTCATTTAATTTCTCATTAGGGTTATGTGATCGCAAGCCCATGCGTTGACGTGTATCACGACACGAACATGAAAGTTTTATTTGCATACCATATGGGTCTTATACCAGAAGAACTCTATGAGGTTATGTTGTCATCATTGTCTAATTATCCAATTGTTCAAAAGAATCAATTTTTGTACAACAAAACTAATGTCGTGCTATTGCTTGATTGATTATTTTGCCCCTATTTTAAAATCGATTTATAACTTTGTCCCTCTTCTTTAATTATATATCAATTTACCTCTATTAATTTGATAAAGTTTAATCAAATTCTATTCCTTGATAAGGTATTTTACTGAAGCAAGTAATGGTCAAATAGGATATAATTTGAGAAAATGTATAGTTTGGGAAGATGGGCAACATGATAATTTTTTTAAAAGAGGGTCAAAATTAATGGTCATTCAAATCTTCTTTCTTTGCATCTAATTATGAACTTGATTATGCTTTTATATTCACGTGTCACCTAACATATATACCGCAAAACTCAAAACATTTTTGCAGTCGATGAAAGAAAATTGTAACGGCGATTATGTAAACATTGATCCGGAAAACACAAAGTGCGTCTCAGATCATGAAGCTTATTCCGAGGTTAGTGCTCTACACTGCACTTTTAATTGTGCATTTATTTGGTCTACTCAAAGTGATATAATTCTGCATAAAATGAAAAGTAATTAAGTAACCCATTGATTTGCAGCTAGTTCGTTATATAAACGAGCAACAAATTACGGAACCTCTTTGTGTTACTACGCCTGGTATGAACCAAGCAATTATTCAATCAGTTCAAGATCGTTCAGCATTCTGGTGTAGAGTTAAGTAAATTTGAGTCAATTATTTAGTTATTATTATTCATTTAATGAGACAAAAAGAAAAAAAATTCATGATTCATAAGACTAGGTAGCAGAGCTAACTTTTAAGTTTTAACTGTCTATTAGAGTTATGATCACATCCTTATTGACACATGGGCAAATGACGAAAATGTGTGGAAGGCACTTCATGTAAGAGAGGTAATGTTGCATTTAGTCATTTATATTTTAAAGATTACATAATGAAACTAATTGAAATTGTTCATGGAGCTAAGCAATGAATTCAACTATGTCATCAAAATAGGGAACTAAGAAGGAGTTCTTGAGATGCAACAGGACTTTGGCATACAAGACAACTATACGCAGCGTTGTAGAGTATTATCGGAATCTCACTAATGCCAACATCGAAGCTCTTGTTTACAGGTGACTTGGGACACAATAATGTTTTTGAGAAGAGATTAAAATATCATGAGTGTTTCTTGATTTTCTTTTTCTTTTTCTTTTGTGTTATCTATATACTAGTATACCACGTGTTCCAATCTATTGAATTACATTCATTGAATCATTATAGGATTTGAAATGATGCAGCTTTTTATCTGTTCATACTAATTTTTTAGCTTATAATTGCAGTTCTGCTCTTGACATGTCTATACCACACCTGAGTACAGAATATTGGATAAAGTCATTCAACATGAGCATACGTGACAAATGGCGTGCATGGTTTGTTGATGGTCAAGTTGCCGGGTAATTAAGCTGTAATTTTTTAAGTATAATGCTAAGTAGTTTGGGTACACATTAGTATGTGAAAGGTATCAGATCAGAATCTAAGAGATGAAAGATAGAGAAAGAGATAAGAGAAAGAAAGGAAATCTGATCTGATATTAGATCATATCATAACTTGTGTATTCAATGAATGGTAGCAGTACATTATATACAAGGACTCACTATACTCACTAGAGTTAGTACACTAGAGTAGGTGATCTCATTCTGCAAGTAGGATTTACTCGGAGCAGGACCCTGCATGTGTGTCTGAAAAGTTATATGAAATACTGAGATAAAATTTATATGAAAACTCATCAATTAATTTATGATAACCAATTTTTAGATATATAATGCGAAATTGGAGGGAGAGTCTTGAAGTAGCGGTAAAGTTGTTTCTTGTGATCGGAAGGTCACGAGTTCAAGTTTGAACAACAGTTTTTTTGTGAAAATATAAGGATAATGTTGCGTACGATCAACCCTTATCTTTATTTTTGCAAATCGGAAAGCTTTGTATATCGCGATTTGTCCTATAATATGAAAGAGATTCAATAATATCAAATTGGGTGGTTATACCCTCACAAAATATGCTAACAATTACACAATTATATAGTTGGTCTCTCCTAATATATATATCATTCCTGGTTTATTTTTATTTATAATGCCCCTAATAATAAATTGGGCTGACTCTCGGTTAGTCTTTACATCATTCATAGTTCGTAATTCTATATCTTCCTTTTTGGTGAAAAAGAAACTGTGTGTGCCCTTATATTAATTACGTAGTCCTTGAAATATTTCACAGATTCACAGAAATCTACAAAATGAAAGAAGACCACTACCTAACATACGTGACCGTGAAGGCAAGTACAATACTTAATTGGGGAATGCAATTCTAAGTTATTTGTATCAATTTAATTATAAGCAAATTGTTTTTTTTAGTACTTAATTAGCAATTTTCTTTTTCTGGGAATTAACTTGATTTGTCTTTGGTCATTTTAATGTAACGCAGGGCGCTGGACACGTGGCCCAAACATTTAAACCCAGGGAAGTTTATAATATGATCAATAGGTGGTTCTCATTTTCGCTTATCTAAGATTATGTTTCGATTCAATGTAAAATTTTATTCTATTTATCTATATGTAAAATATTAGAGTCGATTTTTGTAAAAGTGACTTTCAAGTTGTTGTGGCCCAGCGAGTGTACTGATCGTTCAAATAATAAAGTGATATGAAAAATATTATTTTCGCGATGATTGATCTACCAAGTTCTATGTTCGCCTGTTTATCAAAGTTGGATTAATTGGAAAGAGTTTTATGAGATTGATTTGAATAATAGTTATAAAGGACCAATTGCCAAATAACAATTAATTGCAAAGAAAAAGAATTCAAATTAAAAGTTGGGTTGAAAATCAATAATAGAACATGCATGCAGTTTGGGTTTCGATTTCTCCCAATTTTCTCCTAGCTAATCTACTTCCTCTCTCAAATAACATTCAAACTTATGTTGTCGAACAATTCATCCCTAAATTAATCGAAACTTAATCCCTTAATATTTCAATTCTATAATTCCTTAGTAAGCCATCTTAGATCAAGCATTAAGAGCAATGAATTAACAATCGCGTAGATTTTATTAGTCTATCTCTAGATCAAACAAAACCTGACAATTTATTCATATCAGAATCATACACCAACATTCTTATTGTCATGCATAACTCAAGTATCCCTATATGATTGGCCAATTCTCAAAAGAATTAAAAATGATAAGTAGAATAATTGCGCAACATGAAAACAAGAACATTATATTGAGAGGAACAAATAAATTAATTCAAGATTCAAAAGGATTCCAACTAGCTCTAACCACAAAAGACTTTAGCAAGACATGACAAACAACAAAAATAAAAGATATCATAAAGGCTTACCCAAACTCCATCGCAATGAGGGCGTGATGAATCTCTGTGAATCCCAGTTTGATCTTCTCTCATGAAAAGCTTCTTTAGAAAGTCATGAAGGTAATATTTATAAAGACGTCAATGCTTAGGAATTAGGATTAGGCTTTCCTTTTTTTGGGCGCTCAGATGCCAAATCTTCTAAATGAGATTTCATCTTCTTCTTTTTTGCAGCAATCATGATATTTGTAATTCCATATCTTCCTAAATATCTAAAACACCAAAAAGCATAAAATTAACTTAATTAATTATAAAAAAACTTAATAACAATTCATCTTATTATTTCAATATTAACAAATTATAAACATTAAATTCACATTTTAGTCCTTAATTTAGGAGTTTTAAGCCTCTATTTTGCATTCAAAACATTATGAATTTAAGGAGTATCAATCACTCCCAGATTTAGCATATTGTTGTCCTGAACAATAAGTTAAAATAAAACTAAGAGAAATGAGACAAGTTCATGTACTCAATGAATTCTCAACAGGTCAATCAATCAACATCTTAATCAACGGAGTATTCAAACTTGATATGTAAAATTGATGAGGCACCAAATCAAGCAAGCATTCATAATCCACAAGTCATAGAATTGTAACACGAGTTCTTAAGACAGAAAATAGGAAAATAAAAAATCAAAACACCCCCCCCCCCCGGCCCACTAGGATTTTCAATTCACTCATACTCAAGTGCTTGAGAGTGTGTGTTTCACTCTTTGCTTCACTAAATCAACACTACAATAAACTTGGTTATATTCTCACTTTTCACAGTCTTAATGATATATACAGTAGATCAAGGGTCTTTTATTAAGGCTGTAATTTGGCTTGACTAAAGGAAGGAAATGAATATAGGAAAAAAAATGGCTATAAGGCTAAAAATCAGATTTATAGAGAAATAAGCATTAATGCATAGACAATTTTTTTATTAATCAACTCTTTCTCCTTTGCACTTTTTTTACAACTTTTTATTTACGAAACATAATACTTTTGCAATAAATAAACTTCTTTTTCTTTCTTTCTTTCAAATTTTTCATTTTTTTTCATTTTTCTCTTTTATATTTTTTATATATTTTCTCCTTTTTTTTAACCACATTGTATGTCTTTGAATTTTGTCTTTTCACTTACACCTCCAATACATTAACAAATCAAAATTATGACAATTATGCTCAGTCCTTACAATCTAAACCTTAAATCCAATCTAAATTAGGCGAGGATGTGTATCTGGAGTGACTATTCAAAATTATATGTCATCAAGAATAAATAGGCCAAGGCTCTAGAGCCTTAAACAATGGAATTAGATATAGGTGGCTATTTGACTATCTAGCATATCATAAAGAAAATGCCTCAATCATATCAATAAGTACATACCACCAGACTATCTTAAGCGAGAAAGAAAACAAGTTCTAGAGTGTTTTCATACAGTGAAGTGCACATTAAATAAATTAAAACTATTTGGCTCAAAATCTCATAGTTATGGATGCAAGATTAATTCCCTACTCTCTATATCAATCACTCCAAATTATCTCCTAATATTCCAGTGAATTATTCAACCTACTTAACTAGTGCTCATCCATGCATAGAATAATAAGTCACATCATCATATTCATGATCAAAACACTAATCAATTTCCCTGACAATTATCCATTTATGCATAATCAATAATCTAATATTTTAATTTTTACACTGGAAAATTTTTATTTTTATTTTTTACCAAAAATGAATGAAGGAGGTGAAAAAGAAAAAAAATAAAACTAACTCAAAATTAAAATTAACAAAAATAAAGATAAAGAAGAGTTCAGAGTAGTTCCCTGTTCTGGCCAGATAATTCAGTGTACGCTAATGATATTCTCTCCAAACCTTATAGTATAGCACAAAATACCTCACATTCCTCCAACCTTCCCAGATTTAATATATTGTTATCCTCAGCAATCAAGTTAAATCTAGAAATTACTCAAAAGTAAAAACTTTCTGCACACACTGGAAAGAACAACACCAACAATGTTATAGAGGTCAAAATTGTTAGCTCAAAAAAATGTCAGGGTACTAAGCTCAACATCCCCAAATTACTTAAAATAAAAAATTATAAAAGAAAATGGAAATAAAATAACTGAAAACAAATAATTATTGGGTTGCCTCTCAATAAGCGCTTGTTTAACGTCATGAGCCTAACTTTGATCGATAGTCAAGGTGGCTTGAAACAAAGAATTAAGGTTGTCTTTGTTCTCTTGGTCATAGTCATCTTCTTAGATTTCTTTATCTTAACCTTAGGTTTGCTTTTAGCTCTTAATAGGTGAGAATTCTTGAGTTTTGTAGTGGCCAAAAGTAGTTCATGAAGAAAGTGACAAATAGCAGGGTCCTCATTGTTAGTATGTAGGTGTCCTAGAGACAATATGTTTTATCAGATGAACACCTTATACTATTTGGTATTTCATGGTTTATATATTTGAGCACACTTTGTCTTTATCATATTCATGTCTTGCCTATATTTTACGGTTAAGATGCGGTTAAAGATAAAGGCCCTAGGAATAGAATAGGTGTTCACTCGATGATCTATGATAGGGATCATGATCATGAGGACTCGAGGACACTACATGACTATTGCCTGAAACTTGTTCCTAGTCTTGAATCACCAAGATAGGGCATTAGTGATCTCAATAAGACTAGTACGACATCATCTACTTTTATGGAGATATAAGGTAAGGACCTCATGGAATGCAACAATGGTGATGCCTTAGTTGATCTTGTGGGTGGATCTGTTAGAAAACAAATAGCACTGAACTGACCCGTCGAGAGACTCAACAATGATTTATTGTAGAGAATATAATTGGATTTGTAATATCTTTCATCGTTTGGCAATGTTGGTCGTCCTAGACTTAAGAATGTCATCGAACATTATGTCATATGGTTACTTTGACTGCACAATTCTATCCACCTGAAATATAGGGAGAACAGTGTACTCTTGGGTATAACTCGAATACATGAGTATAGATGGACATGCCAAAAGGACTCATAATCTTCTACAAGGGATTAGTCATTCACAAGACTGGTAGGGATTGGATGACTTCAATTTGACTTGGGAATCTATGCATAGTAAGTGATCATGAGGAGTCATAATCTATCTTAGGGTCACTAGAAGAAGATTCTTAGTTTTGTAAAAAGCTACATTGGGTAAGGGTCATTAGACAGTAGTGAAAATAATCCTTAAGTACTTGAGAAAAACTAAGGATATGTTCCTGGTCTATGGTGGAGTTGATGAGCTGGAAGTGAAAGGGTTCACTGGTGCCAGGTCAAAAGTGATGCGAAGATTGCAAATCGCAATCAGGTTTTATGTTCACCTTAAATGGTGGAGCCAAAACTTGGAAGAGTTTCAAGCAAGTGACTACAACAAATTCAACCACAAAAACTAAATACATTGCGATTTTAGAAGCAGCAAAGAAGGCACTGAGGATCAAGAAGTTTAAAACTGGGGGTGGTTCCAAGCATTGTTGATCCAATACCATTGTATTATGACAACACTAGAGCTATTGTACAGGGCAAGGCACCCAAGTCTCATCAAAGATCAAGCATGTGCTTTGCAAGTATAACCTTATTTGAGAGATCGTTAAAAGGTCAGGCGGAAAGATGGACTATGTTCACACTAATGATAATTTGGCTAATTCTATGACGAAAGAGGATTCTCAAAGAATGCATGATTGTCATTATGAGTCATTAGAATTGAGGCATCAACCCGATTGACTCTAAATCAAGTGAGAGATTATTAATATATATAGATGCCATGATATTTTATTTATTTAATTTTTATTTTTAAAATATATATTTTAAAATTTACCAATAAATTACACAACTAACTTCATGTAACTATTTTTAAATGGATGTACCAAGGAAATGGTGAAATTAAGTTTTCACCCTTCTCGGTACATAATGAAACTTTTGAATCTTGGTTTATATTTTTAAAGACCATTTTGCCAAATTCAAAGTTTTTCAATATTTTCTCAAATCAAAAACCTTGTTTTTCAATTTCTCTTTTCTATATTTTTCTTGAAAGCTTTTTTTTTAATAATTTTGGGTCGATTAATTTTTACTTTATGTTACTTTAATAATTTAGGATATTAAATAAGGTCACTTCGATCATTAACATAACGACACCATTAATTTGGATAAAAAAAACTACCACACAACTAGTAAATGCAATTTAAACACCATAAACCGTATTCAAAACTTGATTTTAACACATTTATTTCTTTGCTATTTGAACAATTTTATGATTTCGGAACTTATTTCAATTTTTTAAACTTGACGAAATGGTTAAAATTGCATGTGATAATCACGGAATCATTTTCCTATCCATATTAAGAGTGCCTTAAGTGGTCAAAGTGAGTCTCTTTTAAAATCATGAGCTATTGAAGTGATACGGAATAATCATTAATAGCAAGAATCAGCTTATTTATAATCTTGAGTAAATAAAGTGTACCCAATAAATTTTAATAAGCAAGTGGTATTAAATGAAAGCTTAGTGGGCAGTGTCTTTTATCTAAATAATTTTTTTTCTCAAATGATACAGCAGAATAAAAAACTCCATATCATAAAATTTTATCATAGATGACATATTTAACTCTGAGAAACAAATTAATTAATACATGGTCATGTAACATGTTGATATCTTGCCTAGCAAAATTTAAATTTTCATTTATTGTAATTGTTATGGACCCATATACGAGGCCCATTAATCGACAAGTCTAAGAAGAGGCAAACTAAGATATAAATCAAGTATAACTACATAAGGATATTCATCAAAGATATCAATCCTAATACGACAGCATCATATATGGGCTTGGGCCATCATAAGAGGCGCTAAAGGTCCAGAATCCACTACTCACAGGTAAATTCTATAAATAAAAAGCAAAACCTACAACTACGTTATGTTCTCTCTTACTGTTATGCTGTCACTGTGAGCACACACAATCCCTTTGGCAAAGCCGCAGTGATCTGCTTGATTCAAGGGTATCTCATTTATAGATACCTTAAATAGGACACTAGATCCAAGAGTAACATACTAATCTATTAGGCAACAGACATAAAAAAATGATTCCTTTTTTTCTTTTTTACCTTTTTTCTCCCTTTCTATACTCTTATTTTCTAGTAACAAATTCGGCATTGTTTAAGATCGAATCTTTTTTTTTTTTTTTTGGTATTAATGAGGGGCAAAGCCCCATTAAGATCGAATCTTTATTTGGGATAGATACAACCCGGCAAAGCGGTTGGGTTTCTAGAAGAATATAAAATCGTTTTTTTTAAAACAAAATTTGACGAAGAAGACTTACACTCCAAGTCAAACACTAAGATAATTTCTCTCATAAATAATATATATACTTCTGAAATCCTAATTTCTTATACATTTTAAGCCCTAACATCTTTACGTCTAGTGATATGTCGTTTGTGATCATCTATTTTATAGCTAATCACTATCTAGGGGATCCAATATCAAATACATCCCTTCAAATCGAAAAAGTATTCACTTATTCTTTTAGTATAAAATTAATCATATTTTTATCTCTTTTAGGAGTGACATCTTTATATTAAAATGGGTTCAACTCAAACTTTAGCTTAAGCTTATGGGTTTAACCGTATCTTGGTAATGGATTTTTATTAGAAATTTTGTATATAAAGTCAAAAAAATATCGACCAATTTTATAAATTGTATGTGATGCAAGAATGTGTTGCAGATTTGAAAATAAATTTGGCCAATTGCAACCTCTCCACACGTCACACTGGTTTTTTAAAAAATGGGAAAAAAAATAAAATAAAAAGACGGACAAAAACCAACTTGAATGAGTGAGCAAAAATTTGTATAAGTGATTTTATTACTTGAACTAACCTAAAATTGATGAGCTACGTGGTTGGGACAGCAAAAACGAGTGAGCAACTGCACGTGTCATTTTGGCAACTTTTGCCAAACCTGAATGCATAATTTAAGCTTCGGAAAAGTGTTTGTCCTCTTAAAATGACACAACTTTGCTTCTTTTAAAATAACATATACTTTTCCAACTTTTTTTTTTCCTTTGACATACAGAAACAAATAACTACTCAGATGGTTCAAACTGGAAAAGCATGAACAGTACATTAGGATGAGCCAAATAGGTACAAGCACACAAATTTTGGCGACACCTTTCAACACACTTTTGATATGTTTAGACCCACATGAATTTTGCCACGAAAGTGCTTCTTTGAAAATCTAAACCTTCTATGTTCTGGTATTGGTTATACAAATTGATCTATATGACCATTGTAAGCATCTGCTCTTTGTTTTCTTTAAAAAATAAGAAGATTTTCATTTGTTGAGACAGTGCTGTGTAGAATGGAGGTCGAGAGAAAAATAATCCTATGCTTATTGATGAGCATCACTATTGGGTATTACAGAACTGAAGGCAGAGACCCTGTGCTGCACAGGGTTGGAGGAGGAAGGTATAGTTGGGCACCACAATTTAACCTTACAGAGTGGGCAAGTCATGAGCAATTCTACAAGGGTGATTGGCTATGTAATTAAGCTTCTTCAATTCTCATCACTAATTATTATTAATTATTATGAGCATTTTATGTATCTTTGCAATGTTTGTTAATCAATTTCCCTCCTTGTGAATATAGATTTTGGTTTTGACAAGCACATCTACAATGTTCTGGAGGTGAACAAAACAAGTTATGACAAATGCATTGACACATGCTTCATAAACAACATCACAAGAGGAGGGAGAGATGTTTACCAACTCTTGGAAGCAAGGCCATACTATTTCCTCAGTGGCAGAGGCTTCTGCTTTCATGGAATGAGGGTTGCAATAAACGTTGAAGAGCCCGCACCAGCACCACCTTTGACCAACAAGGCCTTTCCATCAAGTAAAATGAGGCATGCTAAACCGCTTGTGCCTCTGGCTACAGCTTTGGCTTGGACCTTCATATAGAAAACACGTTAGATATAGGTTATGTATATCAGACTTTTTCTTTTTCTTTTTATTTCCTTCTTGACATGTTTTGGGTGAACTTTGTTAAACTCTATAGATTTTTTTTTTCCATTCCCTTTTGTTTGAGGAAAATGTGAAAGATTATCTTTTTTAACGAAGACTAAATCTTGTGTGCTTTATAGTTGAAACTCACGTAATAGTATAAGTACACCATTTATTTAAATAAAATTTATGGAGATTACTTTGGTACATGCTATATTTCACCATGTTCAAATGGAAAAAAAGTATTTCACATGGAGGTTTTAATTTTATACCGATCCTAATTACTTTTTTGAGGTAACCCAGTCTTTCGGTATTTTTACAAGCTTTAACTTTTGAAGTCGGCTATAAGATTAATTGTTAGGAATAGACCTAACAAGAGAGGAACAGAGAGAATAAGAAAAGAAAAACCAAACAATCAATTGTATATTCTAAGTAATTTTTCAATGATACACCTGAGTTCTATTTGTACCCTATTTGTTCTCACATCAGAGCCACGTATTAAGGTTATTAACAACAACCTTCATTCTAAACGACACAGTTGTCCTACTTACAACATATCACCTATTTATATTACATGTGTCACCTGCATACACTTCACCTATGCCACGTAGTTCTTCAACCTCACAGAAGAATGCTTTTCTCTGGTTGAACTCCTTCTTGTAACATTCCCTTCCTCTTCAAATATGACCTTGTCCTCAAGGTTCAGGGAAGGATAACAATGATGCAAATGCTCCTCTATCTCCCAAGAAGCATCTTCAGGCACAGAATGGGTCCATTGAACCAAATACTGGCGTTGGGTAATTCCTCTCACAGCAACAGTGCGTCTGGCCAACACTGCTAATGGCATTTGGACTGGCCTATTCTCCTCGGTCTCATCTGGAATGGGTATAGGCTGCATGTCCAAGTTTCCACGGAATGGCTTGAGTAAGGAGACACAGAAGGTGGGGTGAATATGGCAGTTAGGAGGTAACTGCAAACGATAAGGCACATTTCCTACCTTCTTTTCAACTGTATAAGGCCCAAAATATCGCTTGGCAATTTTATGGCTAGCACGCCTTTCTACAGAAACCTGTCTGTACGGTTGTAATTTCACCCAAACTAGTTCTCCTACTTCAAACGAGCGATCCTTCCTATGTTTATCACTCTGCATCTTCATGCGATTTCTGGCTTGCAACAGATGTGCTTTTAACCGAGAGAGAATTTCATCTCTCTGCACTAATAAAGCCTCTATTGCTTCCACCTTTATTAATCCCCTAGGACAAGGAGGAATCTGCAAGGGTTTCTTACCAAAGACAGCAGTGTAGGGGGCCATACCAATACTTGAGTGCACACTGGAATTATAGTGAAATTGTGCCCATCCCAAAAATTCTGACCAGCTCTTTGGTTTTTCATGACAGAAAGAACGCAAGTACTGTTCAAGATAATGATTAGTTACCTCAGTTTGCCCGTCAGATTGCGGATGATATGTGGAGCTAGTGTGTAGCGAAGTCCCACTTAACTTGAATAACTGTGACCAAAACTGACTAACAAATATAGGATCTCGGTCAGTCACTATTGATCGTGCAAAGCCATGAGTGTAAACTATTAACTCGCAAAAAAGCTTGGCCACTATTGCAGCTGTGAAAGAGTGAGGTAACCTGCCAAAATAGGCAAATTTTGAGAGCCTATCAACTATAACCAAGATAGTTGAGTATTGTAACACCCCGTATATATCCGGTAATGTTATCATAATATCGTATTAAGCTGCGCTTAATTAAAATGCAGAATTACTTTTTCTTTTCAATTATGATGCCATTAACATTACCAACTTGCTTAATAATCAATTAATAAAACATCGCCTGTATGTAATTGCAATAAAACAGCTAACTGAAATACCTCATAACATAGATAATATAAGTGTGGCTCTAGTCACGGAGCTACAACAATGTAGACCGGACCATCTAACAGTTTATACAACTCCAATCTAAAAAGTACTAACAGAAAGTGTCATGGACAATCCCCATGCTCACTCAAATAAGGCAACTTGCCCACATCAGTCTCAACAACAACATATCATAAATAGCGGAAAACATAAACATCATCCAAATCCAGTCATGCTAACATAAAGCAGTAAAACATAGTCAGCTAAGCTCCGGCCTCCTGCCGCCTGAGGCATCAGTACCTATACTACCTGATCCTGAAATAAGCATTCCCCAAACGTGGGGTAAGATCTCTAAACTAGAAATCTCAGTAAGTCAGTGAGTCCTCAAGGATCTTCCACCCCAAACTCACTTACATGTGCAATATAAGTTCAAAAGCAGTTTATCATTTATCATTTCTAAAACAATGCAATGCAGCAGATAATCATGTCATGTGTGTCAATACTAATCTACTGGCCAGAGACAGTGCAGGTATACGTCTATCACCTACACATCGTGCAAGTACCACTTGCATTCACCCCGGTACACCGTCTTGTATGGCGCTACATACTCAGGCTTCCCGTCAAGATGAAACAACACATGCATATTAAAAGCCATTACATGTAAAGTTCAATCAACATATCAAATATCCAAAAGCATGTACACAGCATGCATAAACCATACCCCCATGGGACATGGTGGAACCACAACATGGCTAAACCGAGGACACGAAAGCTTACCTCTAAGCTAGCTATCCAATGCCACAAGCTCAAAGTCCAGTCACAGCAGATCACAATCTGATATGGACCAAATATAAATCAATAACATGTACCACATGCATACAAATTAAAGACAACGCCTTTTCATTACGCTTTATGTCTTAAGGCTTCTCACCAAGCCATAAGCCCTTAATCACTTGATTCTGACTTAGTTTAATTAAAACAGAAGTTCAACCTCATCAATCTAGGGTCCACAAACCCCCAATAGCCTACTGTCCTCACAGCACAGCTACTGTTCTTCGAAATCCCAGAATATCCGGATATATGTCGGGGGCATATCCGCATATCCATATCCGGATATCTCCAAGCCCATATCCGGATATCCATATCCGGATATCATATCCGGATATTTCGCGACAGAATGCAGTTTCTGCATTTCGCGAGATATCGCTCCCAAGGTTCCATTTTATTAGAACTGAAGTTGTAATTCTTTCCCAAAAATTCTGAGATTTTAATATGTTAAACTAGACATCACAAGCTTTCCAACGACATATCTTATGTCTCAATCAGAGTTATATAGCTTCGGTTATGATTTTCGCAAAGTGACTGCTGCCAACTGAATTTCCAGCAACCAAGCTGCGACTTTAAACTAACACAGTGTTCAAACCACTTATCCAATGGCTACGAAATTTTATAGGGTTGTAGCCCTATGTGTTAGCTTCACATAGGTCTAAACAGCAATCGATTTGGAGCTCTGTAGCTCAAGATATTGAATTTTTACCAAGACAGGTTCGTTGCTGTCCCGAAATCCGGATATCCATATCCGGATATTTCGCGACAGAATGCAGTTTTTTTGCATTTCGCGAAGATATCCAACAAAGGTGGTTCATTTCAAGCATACAGAAGCTTAAACATACGATTTAAGGTGTGTTTAACATTACCCAACATTAAGTTATCAACTTTAATCCATTGCATGCATCAAGGTTCCACTTTTAAGCATAAAAACTCAAGAACAAGGTTGGTACAACATACCCAAGCTTCAAACTCAGAACAAAGAGGCTCTTGGAGCTCACTTGACATTCCCAAGGTTCTGACTTTACCCAAGAACGAAAATGGCAACATAAGCTATGTCCTTTCTTCACAAAGAAGGCTTCTTAAAGCTTCACAAGCCAAGAACAAGTGCTCTCACCCAAAGGGACACCAACTCAGCCCCTCAACACCTCACCAACAACCTCTCCAACTCAGAAAGGAACACACACTTCCTTCACAAAGCTCACACACCCTCAACCAAGTGTTTAGAGGGTGAAACAAAGAAGAAAAGGTGAAGACTTGGAGGTTTCTCATGCAAAGGTGACCAAGGAGAAGGGTGGCAGCAGCCAAGCTCTCAAAATGTCACGTAGGAGGCACCATTTCTGACCTAGAAATGTGTGCCATGGCCTTATATAGGCCCACTTAAGAATGAACGCGCAGTATTAACTTCAATTGCTACGCTTAGCATTTTAATCTCAAACTCAAGATTCCTAACCTACTCAATTTTACAAGAATTATCATATTTTTCTTATAATTTTCTGAGCACCTTTCCGGTACGCGCTTTTCCAAGCCAGTACCGGTTTCTAGCACCAGTTCTCATTATCTGGACTTGAAACTCGTTTTACAAGTCCTACATATCATTCTAGTAATTTTCATACACTTATTATAATTTTCCGGGATACTTTTTCGGTACGCATTTATACCGACTAGCAGAACCGGTGTCTGCACTTTTCGTCAGAAAAATGACTTTCGGCATTATTACTCACTAATTATAATTATTAAAGCCTCATAATAATTATTAGGGTCAATTATGGAATTATTTCTTAATTTCTCGTAATTTATTAATTAAATCTCTTAATTAACGGTGCGGGTTCTTACAAGTATCCTCGAGATATAGGTAACCCTATAATGAAATCCATAGACAAGTCTTCAAGCACCCTTTCTAGTATAGCTAAAGGTTGCAGTAATCCACTTGGTTTGGAAGTCTCATATTTCACCTGCTGACAAACCTTACAGTGAGCTACAAATTCCTTCACATCTTACCTCATGGAACTCCAATAAAAGGTGGCAGACAATCTTAAAAAAGTACGCAAAACCCCTGCATGTCCTCCAATTGGTGTAGCATGATATTCATGAATCAAAACAGGAATTAAAGGTGAAGTGGTGCTTAACAAAAATCGACTATTATGGAACAAGATGCCATCCTTCACAGACAATGAGACATCAGCTCTCGGATCAGTGTTAAATCTTTGATGACATTGTAACAAATAAGGATCTTGTGAATTCTGTTTCCTTATTTCCTCAAGAATAT